TTTTTCCAAAAATTTTTCCCAAATGATTTAATTGCTTTTTATTGTTTTCCAACCTTTTCCTCAAATAATTTCGTTTCTTATTTTTTCCCGAAAAACTTTTCTAAAATTATTTCATGTTTTTATAATTTTTTCAATATTTTTCTAAAATTATTATTTTTTATTATTTCCACATTATTATTTTTTTTTTTAATTATTATTCTGACAGTTTTTGAAATTTTTACTCCTTTTTTATGTTTTTCCAACTTTTTTCTAAAATTGTAACTTTTTTATATTTCCACGTTTTTATTACTTTTAAACAAGTTCACTAAAATTATTATTTTTTTGTTTTTTTGTATTAGTTATGTATATTAATGGTGTTTATGTATACTAAAAATTTAATTACCTATTTAGCTTGTATTTCTCATTTAAGTGCTCAAACGCACCCATTCTGCCCAGCGGCTGCATCCTTGCCAACGCCAACGCCACAAGAAGCGCACTCAGCACACATGCTTAGCAGCAACTCCTGCCACAATACACACCACTACGCAGCACACTTTTACTAGTAAGCTAATAAAGAGCTGGAAACACTTGCACAACACCGCCGCCAGACACCAAACACATTGTTATTGTTACTATTTAATGTTATTCTAATTTTCGCACCGGCAAAACAATTTTAACTTTTTGATCTATTTTATGATGAAAACGGCGCTGCCAACGACGTGCGATTATTCATATGCATATCATAGCTATGCATGTGCGTATAATTATATTTATATTTGCATATAGTATAGGTTGTTGTAGCTGCTGCTGCCTGTTTCGCTGGCGCGTTGGCTAACTGTTGGTCGTTGTTGACTGCCCGACGTAGCGCGGGACGTTTTCGTCTTTTTTCCGGTCGTGCTGTTGTTTTGAATTTTCACGTTTACTGCCTTAACCCCACCGAACCATGGGTCGCAGGGTTGTTTTCCTACTGCCGTGGCCGCACCAAGTCCATCGCTATGCCGCTGACAGGTTCTACAAATACATGCTGTATATGTATTTTGGGCGTAGGGCGCAACCCTTGCCGCGCGCCGCAGTTTATTTAAATAAACGCGTATTAATTTGAGCAACCGCACGCACTAGCGCTATCGAATTCAACAGCAACAACAAAAAATAGAATATTTTAAATAAAAATACCGACAAAATAAAAATCGCAAAATTTTCACTCGTGTTTTTTTTTTTTATTTTTTTCGTTTATCACTTATCGTTTTAGCAAATGTTTAAGTTGTTCATTGCTTTTCCGTAGCAGTTTTTAGYTTTTTTGGTTTCTGAAAATATTTTCTGCTGTTTGATTTTTTAGTCTTTTTTGTTGGATTTTTCTTTTTGCAAAAAATGTTCTGACTTTCGCTTGAATTGCAATTCGCAGCCGTCGGCTGAGACCACAAAGAGTAATAAATCCAAAAAAATCAACGAGCCGCCGAACGACCCACCGAAAGTTGTATTGCTGCGAAATGCGGCGAAACGGCGCGCTGAATAGCTGTTTGTGCTGCTGAGCACACAAAAACGACCAAGCGGCCACGACGACGTCGACGACGTATAATTCGACCAACAAACGAATGCCTGTTCAATACAATAACAGATGGAATACAAAAAAATAAAACAACAACAACAAGCGCAATACCAACAGCTGGTCGCGCACACACACACTCGTGCCCAAAGAGCCAGAGAACTCAAATACACATTGCAGCAGCGGAGATTGATTCAAAACGCTAAAAAAGAACTAAACACAAATATCATACACACACAAACAGCGCCGAGTAGTGTATAGATGAGCAATGAGCAATGAGCAATGACAACAAAAAAACCAACAACAGTTAAAGGCTGGCATAAAATACCTTCGCGCTCGCTTTTTGCGAAAATTTT